TTATTAAATTAATTTAATTTATAAAATATTTTAATAGAAATTTAATGATAAAAATGTACAAATTTCACGTGTTATAAGTTTTGAATTTTGGAAAATAATTTTTCAGTATTTATAAACATAAAAAATACAAAATTGTGGATGAAATTAAAGATTAAATTTTTAAATATTATATTTAAAATATATTTTTTGAAATATTTTATAATGAAGATATCAATTTATACATATATCTATTACTCAGCTAAATATATGATGATTCATTTGCATAAATAAATATTTATTAAATAAAAATGTAATAAATAAAGGTCTTAAAAATGATTCTCAAAATTGAATATTAATAGTATTTCTTAATCCCTTTTTTTCAAGTGAAACTCCTTGTTAGAGTAGTGGAAAACCCTGACATTATCCAGGAAAAAAAATCTGTTTGGGTTCGTGACCTACTGATTGGGAAATACATATTATTATTAATAGTATTTCTTAATCCCTTTTTTTCAAGTGAAACTCCTTGTTAGAGTAGTGGAAAACCCTTTATCCTTTAGAGTAGTGACATTATCCAGGAAAAAAAATCTGTTTGGGTTCGTGACCTACTGATTGGGAAATACATATTATTGTAAATAATATATAAATTATCTTTATTATATTAAAATATTATAAATCTGATAATATATTTTTAAAATATTTTACTATTTAAACTGTAAATATAATTTCAAAAATTCAGAATTTCAAAATTTATATAAGATTTAAAAATTATATTTTAATTTTTCCTTTTAACATATGCAACTTTTCAAACTGGCATCAGTTAAAAAATGAAAAACTTTTAAGAAAGAATATAAATTATTATTTGCTTAATATAATAATATATAACTTTTAATATAGAAATTTATTAGTTATTTTCCTTTTTCTTTGTCATATATTTTAAAAAGTTTAATTTTTATTATTATTATTTTTTTAAAATTAAAATATGATTCTGATACTTTCATATCCAGCAATTATCAAATTAAATATGAAAATTTAATATAAATTGCCTACTTAATATGACCATTTGTAGTTTCTATAGCATTCAAGCATAGTATAAATAATAACTTACTTCATAACCCTGAAAGGTAAACAAAATATTANATTTATAAACATAAAAAATACAAAATTGTGGATGAAATTAAAGATTAAATTTTTAAATATTATATTTAAAATATATTTTTTGAAATATTTTATAATGAAGATATCAATTTATACATATATCTATTACTCAGCTAAATATATGATGATTCATTTGCATAAATAAATATTTATTAAATAAAAATGTAATAAATAAAGGTCTTAAAAATGATTCTCAAAATTGAATATTAATAGTATTTCTTAATCCCTTTTTTTCAAGTGAAACTCCTTGTTAGAGTAGTGGAAAACCCTTTATCCTTTAGAGTAGTGACATTATCCAGGAAAAAAAATCTGTTTGGGTTCGTGACCTACTGATTGGGAAATACATATTATTGTAAATAATATATAAATTATCTTTATTATATTAAAATATTATAAATCTGATAATATATTTTTAAAATATTTTACTATTTAAACTGTAAATATAATTTCAAAAATTCAGAATTTCAAAATTTATATAAGATTTAAAAATTATATTTTAATTTTTCCTTTTAACATATGCAACTTTTCAAACTGGCATCAGTTAAAAAATGAAAAACTTTTAAGAAAGAATATAAATTATTATTTGCTTAATATAATAATATATAACTTTTAATATAGAAATTTATTAGTTATTTTCCTTTTTCTTTGTCATATATTTTAAAAAGTTTAATTTTTATTATTATTATTTTTTTAAAATTAAAATATGATTCTGATACTTTCATATCCAGCAATTATCAAATTAAATATGAAAATTTAATATAAATTGCCTACTTAATATGACCATTTGTAGTTTCTATAGCATTCAAGCATAGTATAAATAATAACTTACTTCATAACCCTGAAAGGTAAACAAAATATTACATATAAAATTGATTCTAATCAATTTTGATATAATTGCACACTCACTTGAACTTTTCTATTACTTATTTATGTACTTTTTTTAAAGAAAATTTGCCATTATTTTAATACTGAATTGACCCATTGTTTAACTCACTGATAAGTGAATCTACGCGAAGATAATTTTGATATTCTTTTAAGCAGATTTAGGTTTCTAGATTAAAATTCTGGTTTAGACTTTTACTTTGAATATTTAAAAGCTTCATATAAATTAAAATTAAAAATTTAATTGCAATTAAATTTATATTTAAGAATATATTCTGTCACTTTTATTTTTCATTTTTTCACTTAAAATATGTTATTTTATAATTATAAAGATTGAATAATTATTATAAAATTTGCTTAAAAATCTTTCCATATTTAGAATTTTCTAAAATATTTTTCAATAATTAAATAAAACATATTTCTAATTAATAGAAACTTTTCTTTAGAGAGTTCTTTTTTAATGTTATTCTTCTTTAAATTAAAGCGATTTTCTGAAAAATTATCTTTAATTTTCAATATATTTATTTAATTTTCTAATTTTTCTTATAGTAAATATTCCTTTTGCAAGAAAAATTAGAGAAATTAGAAAAATTTTAGGCATTTTTTTTTTATTAAATCATTCCAAATGTTTCCAATTTCTCTATTTTTTTTTAAAATAAAAAAAAATATTTATTATAAGAAAATTAAAAATAAATATTTATATTGAGAATTTTTGATGCTTTCTTAAATAATTTTGTAATTTTAATTTATCATTTTACGTAATTGAAAAAAAAAATTATTAACAATTAACGAAGGCGTTTTTTAGATATTTATTTTAATAAATTAATACACTTGTTCGAATTTTTAATTTTCGGAAACTAACAGATTTATTGAGATAATATGGAAATTTTTACTAAAATTCTTTGAAAGTTTAGGTTATTTTTTAGAAAATTAAGCAAATACCTTTATTTATTGTGTCATAAATTATAATTAAAACTTCATTCATTGAATAGTTTTATAATTATTAAAAAGGTAAGAAAAAATATAATAAATTTAAGTTTTAATAGTAACAAAACAATCATGTGATATAAGCTAATGCTTCGTATTTCTCAACTCATTTAAAATTCATTTTGCCTTAAATTATTATAAAAGTAATACTAATTAATTTGAAAATATAGTAATTATCTAATCAAATAAAAATATTTTGCATAGAACATTATCGGGCAAATGGATTTTAACATAATTGCATTTTCATTTTCAATAATTATTTCATTAAGTGTAAAAATATTTAAATTTTATGATAAAAAAGTTAAAAATAATTAAAAAGTTATGTAAATTATTTTATTTTATTACCAAATCACATAATTTTAATATGCAAAGTAATTTTTATAGTCATTTATATGATAAA